CCATCTATCTTTCTCTCTCTCTCTCTCTACCTGCCTCTGCCTGCCTGCCTGCCTCTCGTGAAAATAAAACCTGGCTGAGCAAGCAACGCCGGCGATCAACACCCAGGAGTCTCTAGCTGCATGCTTCTCAAGCCATTCCACTTTCTCCACAAACAAGCCCAAACAAAACCCATCCAAATTCAAATGCTGCAACCAGCCCCTTATCAACAACTAACCGGGGGAACACATCGGCATTCGCTCTTTTTCTACACGCGCCTCGCTTGTGAGGACACGCGGTCCGGCCTGAGCTGGCACGCGCGGAGACATTTCCGCGAACGGCGCGCGAAACCGCGCGGCCTGAGCCGGCACGCGCGGTCTTCGCATCAAGGCCTCGGCGCTGGAAGCTGCTTTGCGCCGACAAGCACGGCCCAGGCCACGCGAGCTTCCTCCTTGCGCATGGAGCACCCGCCCCGTACCTTGCTCAGCGTGATCCACGTTCTGCTCGTCTCGACTCCGTTCTGCCTCAAGTTGTCACACTGCTGCTGAAGGCCGAGATGCCGTCCTGCGCAAGGAGATCCCAGCATTTTTCGCATATGCCTGTGCGCTCGTACTCCCGCTGACCCGCGGCGGAGTACCACAGATTGCCTTCTTCAGCGCGCGTGCATGCCACGCAAGTTCGGCTGGCTAGGCTGTCCTCTACAGCTAAGTTCGCGCGGTAGACGCCCTTCAGCCGCTCCAGCGGTGGACCATCGAAGCGGTACAGCTTCTCAGTCATGGCGGACACGCTACGCGCGAGGCCGGCTGAGCCGCCAAGCCTCGCCTGCAACCTAACAGCTACTCCCTGCCGAGTGTTGTGTGTCTGTGTGTGTCTGTGTGTGTGTGTCTGTGTGTGTTTGTTGCCGGCTCAAGTCCGTGAGGCTACGCGGTGACAGGGCGTGTAAATGGCAGCGGCAACGCGGCCATCCAGCCAGCCTCCCAGCCCCCCTCACAGCCCGAAGCCAAGAGACACGTTTTCCAGGCAGCCCCCAAAAGCAAAACAACAAAACGAGACATGGAGACAAAGACCTCGACGCCCGCATCGCTACCTGAAACCCTCTTACCTGAGCCCCAAACCCTCCTTTTGCTGTCTTGACATGACCACGCGGCCTGAGCCGGCGCGCGTGGAGATTTTTCGACTCGAGCTCAGGTCAATTTTTACTACTCCAAGCCAACTTTTACTGTCTTGACATGACCACGCGGCCTGAGCCGGCGCGCGTGGAGATTTTTCGACTCGAGCTCAAGCCAGTTTTTACTACTCCAACATGACCACGCGGCCTGAGACAGCGCGCGTGGAGATTTTTTCGACTCGAGCTCAAGCCAATTTTCCTACTCCAACATGACCACGCGGCCTGAGCCGGCGCGCGTGGAGAATCGCGTGGATAATTTTTCGGCTCGAATGACATGACTACGCGGCCTGAGCCGGCGCGCGTGGAGATTTTTGCGACTCGAGCTCAAGCCAATTTTTACGCCTCCAACATGGCCACGCGGCCTGAGCCGGCGCGCGTGGATCTTTTTTCGAAGCCAAGTTTTACTGTCTTGACATGACCGCGCGGCCTGAGCCGGCTCGCGTGGAGATTTTACGACTCGAGCTCAAGCCAACTTTTACTACTCCAGCTCAAGCCAATTTTACTACTCCAACATGACCACGCGGCCTGAGCCGGCACGCGTGGAGAATTTTTCGGCTCGGGCCCAAGCCAGCTTTTGCTGTCTTGACATGACCACGCGGCCTGAGCCGGCGCGCGTGGACAATTTTTCCGCTCGAGCCCAAGCCAACTTTTACTGTCTTGACATGACCACGCGGCCTGAGCCGGCGCGCGTGGAGATTTTTCGACTCGAGCTCAAGCCAATTTTTGCTCTCCAACTCGACCACGCAACCTGAGCCGGCGCACGTGGACAATTTTTCCACTCGAGCCCAAGCCAACTTTTACTGTCTTGACATGACCACGCGGCCTGAGCCGGCTCGCGTGGAGATGTTCAAGCCAATTTTTACTACTCCAACATGACCACGCGGCCTGAGCCGGCGCGCGTGGAGATTTTTCCACTCGAGCTCAAGCCAATTTTTACTACTCCAACATGACCACGCAGCCTGAGCCGGCGCGCGTGGATCTTTTTTCGGCTCGAACCCAAGCCAACTTTTACTGTCTTGACATGACCACGCGGGCTGAGCCGGCACGCGTGGAGATTTTTCGGCTCGAGCTCAAGCCAACTTTTGCTGGTTTGACATGACCACGCGGCCTGAGCCGGCACGCGTGACAGATTTTTGGGCTCGAGCTCAAGCCAATTTTTTCTGTCTTGACATGACCACGCGGCCTGAGCCGGCACGCGTGGCAGATTTTTCGGCTCGAGCTCAAGCCATTTCTTTTACTGCTCCGACACGACCGCGCGGCTTGGGCCGGCGCAGGTAGTATTTTTTTCGGCTCGAGCCTAAGCCGATTTTTACTGCTGTGACATGACCACGCGGCCTGAGCCGGCGCGCGTGGAGATTTTTTCGGCTCGAGCGCAAGTCAACTTTTGCTGTGTCGACATGACCACGCGGCCTGAGCCGGCACGCGTAGGGATTAGCCTGCTTCGAGCCCAAGCCAATTTTTATTGCTCCGACACGGCCTACGTGTAGGAAGCGTGCGGCCTGAGCCAGCACACATGTGCACAAGAGGTAGAGCCAGCCCAGAAAACGGCAGCGGTATACATGACGCGCATCGTGGTGGCAACAAGTCGACCTACAGCCCTCGAACCTTCGAACCTCCTGACCGACAACGAAACACTCTCCCACTTACGCCTCTCGAAGATGCCTCCTCACACCCAAAGTAAAACACGACTAGCCGACGGACCCTGGGCCCCTGCCAACCTGACGTGCATGCGTGGCGGCAACAACTCTCCTACAGCCCTCGAACCTCCAAGCCTTCGAGCAGACAACGGAACGCTCCCCTGACTGCTCCTCTGGAAGATGCCTACCTAAACGCAAAGCAAACAAAAACAGTTAGCCAACAGACCCTGAGCCGCTTGAACAAAAAACACATTTAATTAGAGTCAGCTCCCGCAAGCAACCGTGTTTGACCGAGACGCGCGCTGCTTTGTTTTCTCCGTTCTTCGGTGTCATGCACGACTACCCGGCGGCCTGAGCCGGCACGCGGGGCAATCGCGTGTGTCGGGATGCTTCCGCGCAGCCTGAGTCGGCATGCGACGGAAGTCACGTCTTCAAGGCTTGCGAGCTGCCGTCTGACAGCGCGAGTCCCTGCGCGCGTCGGTGCAGGTCCTTCATGCGACGCTCGGCGTCCTGGCACTCAGACACTTCGGCCGCGTCGAAGTTGTAGCGCTCGCCTTGCAGATAGTTCACGAAGCGGGTGCCTGCCCCACGCAGCGCGTCCCTCTGACCGTCCGCCGGCATAGGCGGGGCATGAAGCGAGGCAGATTCTGCAGTTGCAGGTTTTGCCTCGGGTCGCAATGAAACCGCTCGTTGTGCAGCCGGGTTAGGCCGCAAGACTGGCATACAGCGCGATAGAAGCCCATCTCGCGAACACCCACGCCCACAGTGCTGCGCCTGCCTTTCTCTTGATTTCGCAGCAGGCCTATGGAATCCAAAAGGTGAAACTTCAAGGCCCTGCCATGGTCCTGACTAAAGGCGTGGAAGCAGTCGCATACGGCTGCCCGCAAGCTTTAAGTTCCCACGGCAGGGGCGCCTTTTCTGCAACACAAAAGGACACGGGCTATGCACCAGCTGGTACGCGCCAACTGGAAAGCCGCCCAGTGTGCAGCCAGACAGCTAAGCCTCCGGCTTGGTCAGGGGCGCCGGGTCGCTGCGCCAGCCAGTCGCCGGTGCCTGGTCCGCCCGCGAAGTCAATGCCACAGCCGCGCAAGAACGTGCCCACAGGTCGAGCTGCTTGGCCAGCAGCACACCGGTATGAAACTCCACAGGGCCGCGCAGGTGCGGGTGCATTACATTGGCGGGCTGCAGACGGCTCAAGAACATGCAGCCAAGCGCTTGGAGGTTGATTTGCAAAGCTACCCTGTCGCCGGCTGAGCCGCCAAGCGACAGGATCGCTAGCTGGTTATCAAGGCCACACTCCATCGTGCGCGCCCCACGGCACATCCTGACACTGGGCGGTAGGCCGTATAGCTGCAGGACCCGCGGGCACGGCAGCGCGTCGTCCACCGATGCCAGCGTGTCGTGGGACACCCAAAAATACTATAGTCAGGCATAGGCCATGCCTCCATCACTTCTGACTGCTGCATGCGCAGCTCGGCAGAGCGAAGCACGTCCTTGGCCTTGAAGCCGTTCGCATCCGCGTCCTCCTCGCCCTTCGGCAGCAAATACTCATCCACGAAGAACCCCCACATGTCAGCGGACTGAAGCGCCGCTCGCATCGGACCCCACCACTCGCGTGCCGGCTGGCTGCGCGGCAAGAAGACGCAAAAAGCTGCGCCAGTCCAGGAATCCGCGGACTCGTGGCTGAGCCTACAGCAAAAGTGCAAGTACCGCTGCACGAGAATCATCAAATCCAAGCGGAGCATGCGACAGGGGTCGCCTATCCAGGCCAGAAAGCGCGCCGACACAGAGAACTCGCCGGCGCCACACAAAATGTGCAGCATGTGCAAAAACAGCAGTATCTGACACTGACACACAGTGCTTTGCTGTTTGAATTCTTCTGCAGGAAGCTGAGGGAAGCGGCCCGTGAGCTCCTTCAGCAGCAGGTCTATCTCATGCCTGAGGTGCGGTAAAGCATTCAGCGCGAGCTCCAGGGCGGCAGCCAACGCAAGCTCGGCCCTGTGAGTGTCTACGTTACCCTCGAAGATTGCCATGTATGAGCAGCGCCACCAGCGCCGCGGCGAGTCGACTTGCCGGCATCGGCGTCACGGCATAGGCAACGAGGCCAATAGCCCCAAACACTATTGTGCCTGCCACATTACTCTCTGACTCGTCTCGGCTGGCCCGTCCGCGAAGGATACGTTTTTGCCGGGGGCCGGCCGCTTGTTCGGAGCGCAGATCAAAGGGGGGCCGGCTGAGGCGCCAAGCCCGCCCGCTCTCGGGACGCGAAGGCTTTGGCCGGGGCCTGAGTCGCCAAGCCACCGGGCCGAGCATCCGGCCAATTTTCACGCGTCGCCTGCGCAGCTGCGGCTGAGGCCGGCTGAGCCGCCAAGCCATCGGACCGAGACCTTGAGACGTCGGACTCGCGCTGCTCCCGAGGAACCAGGCGCACCTTGGGAGGCGGTCGGCAGCGGAAACATCGCCGCCGCTTTGCTTGTGGTGGACACCTGCTGAACCAACCCCTTTTGCACAAGAAATAGCCGCACGGACTCGCTCCACGACGCCATGAATCGAGCGTCTCGACGAGCGCATAGACTGCACTGAGCAGGAAACTGCGACCTGATAGCCGCGAAGGTATCCCTCCAATCCGCAATGATGGCTTCGCACTGCTGTAGCTGTTGAAAAAGGCGGCTGCACGTGCTCTCGTCGCGTATGACCTGAGTGAAAGACTCTGTTGCAGGCGTTCTCAGCAGCTGAATAAAATTCATCATGTCGTTGAGCCGGCCTGTGCCGGCACGGCTCAACATTGAAGGGATCTCGACATCCAGCAATATCATGGACACTGCTGGGCGCCGGAGCAGATAAGCATGCAACTCACGCCGAGCTTCCTTCACAACGTGCCCCTGCTGCCGAAATTTTGGTCTCGCAGCCGTCTGGTCCCTGCTGGCCTCTGCTGCGTCCGCTTCTGCGCTTCCGCGGCTGCCCAGACGAAGTCTATCTGAGGCGCTCGGCCCCGCTGCTGCGCGTCGGCCAGCACCGTGCGCAACACAGCAAAGCAACACTGCGCCACGAACATGGAGTGATGCTTCCCGGTCGTGCACACGAACCAAACCTCGGCCGTCCAAGCGCGGGTCGTGGCGAGCCATGAGACTACCGCGAAGCTCATAGCGGCCACGGCCAGCATAAACTCTTCGTATCCTTCGTCCTCGCTGCTCATGCGGCTCAGCAGGCACTGGCCATCTAGACAATGGTAGAACAAGCTTTGTACCACCCAGTCACGTAAGATACGATCCAAGAAAAAACGAGGTAGCGAGTGTTCGGCATGTTCCGCAGAACCTCGGTCGCGAGCGGCCCTTCGTCGCAGGTGGCGCCTGCCTGGAACTCCCGCGAACACAAGTCGGCAAGGCCGCCGGCGCGAAAGACCACTTGCCCGGGCGCGGCGCTGCCGTCGCGCGTGTCCCAGATGCTGCTGAGACCGCCCCAGAATGGGTGCCGTGACTGCCCGGTCGCTGCCATGGCGCGCGCGTGTTGGCCGGCTGAGCCGCCAAGCCAACAGGAGAGAACGGTCACTGCACTTGTCGCTGTTGTAGTTGCTGTTTGTTTGCTTGTTGCTGGAATTTGCTGCTGGTTGTTGTTGTTGTCGTGGTCGTGGTCGTGGTCGTGGTCGTGGTCGTGGTCGTGGTCGTGGTCGTGGTCGTGGTCGTGGTCGTGGTCGTGGTCGTGGTCGTGGTCGTGGTCGTGGTCGTGGTCGTGGTCGTGGTCGTGGTCGTGGTCGTGGTCGTGGTCGTGGTCGTGGTTGTCGTTGTCGTTGTCGTTGTCGTGTCGTTGTCGTTGTCGTTGTCGTTGTCGTTGTCGTTGTCGTTGTCGTTGTCGTTGTCGTTGTCGTTGTCGTTGTCGTTGTCGTTGTCGTTGTCGTTGTCGTTGTCGTTGACGTTGACGTTGACGTTGACGTTGACGTTGACGTTGACGTTGACGTTGACGTTGTTGTTGTTGTTGTTGTTGTTGTTGTTGTTGTTGTTGTTGTTGTTGTTGTTGTCCACTCCCAAAAAGAGATCGACGCCTGGGCCTGCTGCCTTTGCCGCGCGTGCGCCCAGTAGTCACCAAGGCCCAGCGGGAACAGCTTGATGAAGCCTGCCGCTATGTAGTACGGCTGGTCCTCGCGAATCAGCTGATTGCGCGACTGCACGGTTGGAGGATCCAAAATAGGCAGTCCCGGAATGCGCGCGGCGCACAAACGAGTCGCCATGCGCATCTCTGGCGCGGCCGCGTTGGCACACTCCACTGCCTGCCAAAGATCCTCTTTCATGAGCCCGCCAACTCTTGCACGGCGGTGAGCTCATCTAGCACCCCGTCGCTGGACACCGACATGGCCTCGGGCGCTACCGACTTCAAGTACAACACGACATCTTCCAGCAGCAGCTGCGCGTGCTCGGGCACTTGCTGCGCGCCGTCGCGGTCGCCGAGGTCGGTAGGCCCCGGCTCGCTGCTTGCAGCCTCAGCCGGCACGCCCGTGCTCGGACACTTGCTGCGCGCCTGGGCCGCCTGAGACGGCAAGCCTGGCTCACTGCTTGCAGGCTCGGCTAGCTCTGCGTCGCACACTTCCGCGCTTGGGCGGCCTAAGCCGGCGTGCCCATACTCGGACACCTGCTGCGCGCCTGGGCTGCCTGAGACGGCAAGCCCCGGCTCACTGCTCGCAGGCTCGGCTGGCTCTGCGTTGCATACTTCCGCGCTTGAGCCGGCAGGCCCCGGCTCGGGCGCGGCGGGCTCTACAAGTTCTTCATCAAAAGCAAAAGCTCTCACCGCAAAGTAAAACGACTTCCAGGTCTGCGCTTTTCTCTGAAACTGGTCTTCTACATCCACATCCACATCGCAAACAGGTCGCGTCCTATGCTGCTGATTTCTTGCTGCTCGGCCACAGTCACCTGCAGCCTGCTGGGCTCCGCGCCGGCCTCCGTGTCGGCGGACTGCTGCAAGTTCTCCCGACGCACTAAGTCCACGTAGCCGGCGACAGTAAGCGCTCCCGGCTGGAGCGCCAAGGAGCCGCCCTCCTCGACCGGCCGCGCGATGCGATCCAGGGCTCTCTCCAGCCGGCAGCGGGGCCAAAAAAGGCACGCAGTGCTTGCGAGCAGGGTCCTTCGGGCACCGCCGGACCAGGAGCATCTTCATATCTCCCACCAGCGCGGGATCTGGCGCACGTACTGCGGGCCGTTTTGAAAGAGGTTGCCCACATGTCCGCGAAGCTCACACTGCCCCGTGGCATGCAATGTGAAGATCCGCACAATGTGCTGGATCGGCGAAAGTAGCTCTTCTTCGAAGAACGTCAACGCGTCCGTCTCAGGCAGAGACGGACCTGGATCTGCGCGGTTGTCCGCCGTAAAGCGAAACGGGCATGCCGTCTTTCGCGCGGGCCTTTGCCTCGGCCACGCAGTTGCGGCATATGGCTTTGTCGGGCTGGAGCCACTCCTTCTCTGGAGCAAGAAGGAAGTTCGTCTTCTTGAAGACGCCGCTCTCAAACTTGCCCGGCATGTGCTCGCGGGTGCGCTTGGTGCCGAACCATCCTTCCTTGCAGTAGTCGCACGCAGCGAACTGCTGCTCCAGCAGAAACTCATCCACATCTAGCACGCGACGGAAAAAGATGCGCGTGCGCGCCTCTGCGTCCGCGCTATAGCTGCCGCAAGCTCTTCGGAAGCCGCGGCCGCGGCAGCTCGTCTGTGAGCTCCGTGTCCTGCGCATGCAGCTTTGGCTCTTGCGGCCCCTTGACAGCGCCAGCACTTGAAGCGCTCAACACCGGCTTAAACGCCTCGCGCGCTTCTGCCTGTAGTTCTGGCGGCAGCCGTGGCAGCACCCAGTGCGTGAACCGGTAACCGAACCGAAAATCGCTGTCCACATCTCTGCGCGACGCCCGAAAAAGCATCGGCGGACTCGACTATTGGCACCGCAAGAAATCCGCCTGGCGCCGCAGGATCTCGCGACACTTGCTCCACTCACGTTGAAGCGCCGGCTGAGCTGCCAAGCGCTCCGCGTCCGCAGGCTCGCAGAGCGTGGCCTCCCACTCCAGCAACACGTCTGTCTGCTGCTGCGAGAGCTTGGGAAAGCACCGGCTCATGAAGTTCTTGCCGAACGTCATCTCTTTATCGCTGCCGGCAGCGTGGACATAAAAAAGATGGCCTTAAGGGACGGCTTGCGCAGCGCGGCGTACTCTTCGAACCGCCGCTCTAGCACGGCCACGAGCCTGTCCAGTTGCCGCTGAAGCGCCGGCTGAGCCGCCAAGCGCTCCCCGTCCGCAGGCTCGCAGAGCGTGCCCTCCCACTCCAGCAACACGTCTTTCTGCTGCTGCGACAGCTTAGGGAAAGCACGGCTCATGAAGTTCTTGCCGAACGTCATCTCTTTATCGCTGCCAGCAGCGTGGACATCAAAGATGGCCTTAAGGGACGGCTTGCAAAGATGGCCTTAAGGGACGGCTTGCGCAGCGCGGCGAACTCTTCGAGCGCTCCGCATCCGCGGGCTCGCAGAGCATGGCCTCCCACTCCAGCAACACGTCTTTCTGCTGCTGCGACAGCTTAGGAAAGCACCCGTTCATGAAGTTTTTGCCGAACGTCATCTCTTTATCGCTGCGTGGACATCAAAGATGGCCTTAAAGGACGGCTAGCGCAGCGCAGCGAACTCTTCGAACCGCCGCTCTAGCACGGCCACGAGCCTGTCCAGTTGCCGCTGAAGCGCCGGCTGAGCCGCCAAGCGCTCCGCATCCGCGGGCTCGCAGAGCATGGCCTCCCACTCCAGCAACACGTCTTTCTGCTCCTGCGATAGCTTCGGAAAGCACCGGCTCATAAAATGTTTGCCAAACTTTATCTCTGCATCGCTGCCGGCAGCATGGACATCGAAGATGGCTTTTAAGGATGGCTTGCGCAGCGCAGCGAACTCTTCGAACCGCCGCTCTAGCAAGGCCAGGAACCTATCCAGTTGCTGCTGGAGCGCCGGCTGAGCCGCCAAGCGCTCGGCGCCTGCGGGCGCACATAGCACAGCTTCTCGGGCACGCAGCTCTTCCTGCTCAGCATCTGTGAGCACATGCCCTTGTCGCTGCAAGTAGCGATACCAAGCTGCTCTTTCGGGGACCGCCGCGCGTCCTGGCCGTGCCTCGACAGCTCCCGTAAATTTTGGCATCGCAGCTGCTGCAAGTCCGCAGCATAGGAAAGAAGCCCTTGAAAGCGAGCCGCGCTTACCATGGCACAAGCAAGTTAGGCTAACAAACACCACAAACAAATGCCTTCGCCTATGTGTGTGATGCGGTTTCATCTGAACCATGAGTGTGTGTGTGTGTGTGCGTTGAGCGTGTGTGTGTCTATGTGTCCCAGTTGGGCAAACAATGATAAGTCAGATACGTCTTCTTTCAACATGCTAGGATGAACAGGACGAGACAAACGCCGCAAGCAAAACAAATGTCTTGTATGTGTCTGTGCGTGTGTCGAGCGTGTGTGTATGTGGCTTAATTGGGCAAACGACGATAAGTGAGATACATCTTCTTGCAATATGCCAGGATGAACAAGATGATATAAACAGCTTTGAAAATCGCAAATGTCTTGCATGTGTCTGTTCGTGTGTGTGTGGGGGTGTGCATGTGTGTGTGTGTCGTTGTAACCAGTACTCAAAACACCGAAGTATCTCAGTAGCCAGGAAACGGCAGCGGACATGAACCCCACTATGCTTCGCCAGCTAACAACCCTAGCAACACATGTGGTGCTTCCCCTTGGCAGCGCATGCCCCATGGCAAACACTGTGAAAGCCCTCTTTCGCTGCAACTAGCCAATGACACCGACGACGTGCAACTAGGCACATCCACCGCTTTTTCTTCTCTCAACCCAAGAATACCTTTGCTGCTGACACAGCCTGAGCCCAACTTTTACTGCTTCCTTCCTTTCTTCCTTTCCTCTCTTTCCTTTCTCCGTTCTTTCCTTCTTTCTATCTGTCTTTTCTTTCTTTCTTTCTTTCGTTTGCTTGTCTATCTATCTACCTAACTACCTATCTATCTATCTCTCGTGTTCTCTATCTATCTGCTTATCTATCTATCCCTCTATCTCTATATCTACCTATCTAACCTATCTCTCTATCTCTATCTATCCATGTCTCTATATCCCTCTATCTCTCTCTCTCTATATCTATGTATTTACCTCTGTATCTATCTATCTATCTATCCATCTATCTCCCGCGTATCTATCTATCTATCTATCTATCTATCTATCTATCTATCTATCTGTCTCTCTATCTGTCTATCTCCCTATCTATCTATCTCTATATCTCTACGTATCCCTCTGTCTACCTACTATCTATCTAATTATCTATAGATCTACCTATCTATCCATCTCTCTATCTACTTGTCTATCTCATTCTTTTTACCTATCTATCTATCTATCGATCTATCTTCCTCTCTATCTATTTATCCATCTATCCATTTCTATCTGTTTATTTCTCTGTCTACCTATCTATCTCTCTCTATCTCTGTTTCTATCTATTTATCTATCTCTCTATCTATCTCTCTATCTATCTATCTGTCTGTTTGTAGATCGTTTATCTATCTATGTATTTATCGCTCTATCTATCTATCGATCTATCTATCTATCTCTTTTTCTTTCTATTTATCTATCTATTTATCTATCTATCTTGCTCTCTCTCTCTCTATATCTATCTATCTCTCTCTCTCTCTCCTCTCTCTATCTATCCATCTATCTATCTCTTTCTCTATCTCTGTCTATCTATCTCTAGCTATCTCTCAATCTGTTTATCCTTCTATCTATCTATCCATCTATATCTGCACTTAAAAGTTGCGATTTTCAATCCCTGAAAATTGACTTGGCGTACTACTTTCGTACTTAAAAGTTGCGATTTTCAAGTTCCAGCTGCGAAAGTGGACTTCGCGTACTACTTTCGTTCTTAAAAGTTGCGATTTTTGAGCCCCAGCTGCGAAAGTAGACTTCGCGTACTACTTTCGTACTTAAAAGTTGCGATTTTCAAGCCCCAGCTGCGAAAGTTGACTTCGCGTACTACTTTCGTACTTAAAAGTTGCGATGTTCAAGCCCCAGCTGCGAAAGTTGACTTCGCGTGCTACTTTCGTACTTAAAAGTTGCGATTTTCGAGCCCCGGCTGCAAAAGTGCTGCGCCTGCCACGAAATCTGTACTTGACCTTCCGGAAGTGCTGCGCCTGCCACGAAATCTGTACTTGACCTTGCGAAAGTGATGCGCCTGCCACGAATTGTGCACTTGACCTTGCGAAAGTGCTGCACCTGCCACGAATTATGTACTTGACCTTGTGAAAGTGCTGCGCCTGCCACGAAATCTCTGCTTAACCTTGCGAAAGTGCTGCGCCTGCCACGAAATATGTGCTCGACCTTGCGAAAGTACTGCGCCTGCCACGCAATTCAAACCTTGAGAAAACTTGACCTTGCGAAAGTGCCCACACAGCACAGCTTCTCGGGCACGCAGCTCTTCCTGCTCACCATCTGTGAGCACATGCCCTTGTCGCTGCAAGTAGCGATGCCAAGCCGCTCTTTCGGGGACCGCCGCGCGTCCTGGCCGTGCCTCGCCAGTTCGCAACAGCTCCCGTAAATTTTGGCATCGCAGCTGCTGCAAGCCCGCAGCATGCAAGTCGAGGTAGGAAAGAAGCCCTTGAAAGCGAGCCGCGCATACCATGGCACAAGCGAGTTAGGCTAACAAACACCACAAACAAATGCCTTCGCCTATGTGCGTGTGATGCGGTTTCATCTGAACCATGAGTGTGTGTGCGTTGAGCGTGTGTGTGTGTGTGTATGTGTCCCAGTTGGGCAAACAATGAT